ACCTCACCTGGTTTATTAGCCCTCTGGTTTTGTGATCGGTCACAGAACCTGGAAGAGAGGAAGATATGCTCAAAAGGATCGTGACTACTCAGGGAAATCAGTTGAACTGCTATAGAAGCCCCACAGCACAAAAAATTAAAAATTAAGGAAAAACCGTCTATGCTGGAAATAGTTCAACAGAATAACGCAGGCTGATGAAAAGCAGTCAGCCGATGTGTCTTCCCTCGCTCGAAGCACATATAGGAATGGGGACGTGGGGTGCTGGTATAAAGTACGAAGTTAAGAAAGCCACCAAGCTAGCCAAAAGGAATGAGAAAATAAGGCACGAATGTGCTGGGAATCTGTGACAGGAGGTGGAATATATGTGGGCTATCGAAATTATCAACTGGTGACCTAGTAATCTACCCCGACCAAACGGAAGACAACCATGAGCGAAAGGAGAGAGCAGCTGTCATGACACCACCAGCGGCATCTAAATTTGTTGTGCAGTGGCAACCAATCTCCTCCAGGATTATGACGGAAAGGCCCAGTTGAAAAGGGGGGAAGGTCACAATTATCCGATGATACGACAGTGTTACAAACAACTCGTAACAAGAGAAAAAGGAAGACTACAGGCAACTGCAAACATTAATGGACAACATCCCAAATAGTGACATCAGAATCGTAATGGGCGAAATGAGTGCTAGACTGGGTACAGAGAAAAAATACAGGAATCGTACACGTCAAGGGTCGGAAGGCTCTCACTCGGAGAAATGATTGATAATGGAGAACGCGTCGCAGACTTCTGTGGATTCAGTGATTTGGTGATTGGATGCAGCGTGTACAAACACAGATATATACACAAGGTGACATGAATTTCACCTGATGGACACACCAGAAATCAGATAGATTTCATCCCAATGCTGCTCAAGGAAGTGGGTACTCAGCTTGCTGAACACAAAGTCGAGAAGAGGAGCAGACGTAGGCTCAACCCATCATCTAGTTCAATGAACCTTCAAGTTGAAGCTCAAATCCTTCAGAACAACTGGAGACAGACCACATTACAAGTTCAACATTCAGAAAATGAAGGACAAAACAACACAGAATACCTTCACTACAGATCAGATCAGAGCAAAGTCGGAGACACTACATGACATCCCTAAGGAAACCTGTGTGGAAGGACATTGGAACTAACTCTCTGGAGTTGATTTTCAAAGAAATGTGTGCAACTGTTCCGGGGGGAAAGAAGAGACACGACAAGGAATAGCTGTCAACGGATACCTACCTGAAAGCTAATCGAGGAGAGGAGAAGAGGATAGTGAATTAGAAGATGACTCATGGCCAAGATGGACAACAGGAGGGGAAGCTGAGTTCAATGTACACTGCACTAAATAAAGAAGTGAAGAAGAGCGCTACGAAAGACAAAAGACAACTTTACAACACACTGGTTTCTGACTGAAGCAGAACAGGCAGACCTAAGGTTGAAGATACCTAAGGAAATTACATCAGATAAGCAGGTCCCTATCTGGGCGGAGATCAAAGCGAAGGATGAAACCAATGAGCATAAACAGGAATAAATATTTATATATGTTAAAGTTTAAGTAGCCAAAGAGGAGAGATAAAGAAAACGATGGGGTGATCACTCCAAAGGATTCCTGAACCAACCACCACCCACAACACCTTAAAAAAACCACCAGCAGTCAGCACAAAACTGCCAGTGGACACCAACGCCCTTACGTAAGCAGGAGTCCTGAGTGTAGGCAGGCCACTTAAGTCCGAGAGGGCAGCAGGACTAGATTGAGTTCCTATTAAAACACTGAAAGCAGATCTAGTGGCCTCAAAGGACATGCTGACGCCATTATTGCCAAAGGTTTGGAAGTAAGGAAGGGTGCCTACAGGTCGGAAGCATGGCTGGCTACCTAGCCAAGCTACCAAAGAAGGGCGACCTGAGGTTCTGCGAGAACTGACGCGGAGGCGTGCCCTCGTCTATACCAATGAAAAACTGAGACAGATCACCCTGGAAAAAGTGAAATATGCACTGGATGCAGAACTCCGTCAACAGGGACAAGCTGGATTTTGAAAAGACAAATCATGTGCTGATCAAATCGCAGCGTCACACATCATCACCGAACAGAGTAAAGAAGGGCGGACGAATCTTTCTGCATCTCAACTTCATGGACTTTTAGAAGGTTTCGGCAGCGTTGATCGAGAAGTAATTTGGAAACTTCTTCAACACTATGGAGTACAATACTCCACAAATTTATCAAGCTCATTCAATAGCTATATTATGATGTCACATATCAAGTGATCCACAATGGAAAACTCGGAGAGGCGTTTGAAGTGAATACGGAAGTTAGACATGGCTGACTTCTGTCACCCATGATATTCCCAATGTGGTGGACTGGATTCTGCATCAGACTGCATCAGACAGGAATAGACTGGTCCGATAAGACGACTCTCGAAGTTCTGGATTTCGCAGATGATATATATATATATATAATGTCACAAACTGGAAGACTCCAAGTGGAAAACCAACAAACCGACAGAAGAGGCAGGCAGCGAAGACAGGATTCCAGGTAAACAATAACCAGCACCAATCACTATCAACAGGAGAAATTTCGAAAAAGCTTACTTCCTTTAAGTATCTAGGAAGCATCGTTTCAACTACAGGCGGATTGGATGAAGATGCCAGAGCCAGAATCTGAAGGGTAAGGCACTCCATCATCACCCAGAAATCAGTTTTGAAATCTTCTGCACTCAGCCAGACTGAGATTTTAAACACCAATTTCAAGTCAATCACTTCTTCTGTATATGTGTCAGAAAATTAACGCTCATATCAACAAAAGTATTTCCAACAGTTTGTTGCAGAATTTTATCAACAGCTACCTTCGCTGGCTCCATATTGAAGATCAGATATCCGGCCAGAGAGTATTTGCAATAAGAAACTATTGGAACAACCAAGAACCAACCTGTTGACCAACAAATATGCAGAAGAAAATGGAGATGGATAGGGGATACGCTGAGGAGACAGTTAGGCGATATCACGCTACTTGCCATCTCTCGAGTGGAACCCGAATGAGGGAAGATAAGTGGATTATTGGATGGTGGCATGCAGGAGATCGTGCGGGGAGGGGGTGACGGAATATGGGCATTCGTCGGAGGATTGCAAGGAATAGAAAGAAGTGGAGATGTGCTGCTGAAGTCTTATGTTCCATTCAGGAACCAACAGAAGAGTAATAATAATAATAATAAAGTGAGCATCCTAGACAGAACAGGTCGACTGGCAATTTTTATAAAATACAGTAAGACGAAAATAAATGCCTGGATATGCACTGGCCTCATTTATTCTCAGCAAGTTCTGTGTTTCCTCCGGCGCATTGCTGAGTGATGAATAACCTTCCATGTCTTTGACTAATATTTATTGCTTCCTTGTCCATCAGTGCTTTAGTGAAGTGGACACTAGACCAAAACTGCTAGTTTGTGAATGGTTCAGTATAATAAACCGGACACTGATATCGCATCGCATCTTCAACCATCTCATTGCATGAAATAGCCGTATGTATGACATTCAGCTTTCACAGTAACGGCAGAAACTCTTTCACCCCATCTGAGGAGTTCACGTGTTCCTGGAGCCACTTAGAACTCTTTTAAAGTCGGCAAAGTTTAGCCTGTGAATGACATTCAACAGATAACAGAAAGCATCTATTTGTTGCCCATCCGAAAGTTCACCAAATATTGGAAAACTTTAATAATGAAGGTGATTAGTGCTTTGCTTTCATGCTGTGGGTAAGATGGTGGTGTCACTGGCCAAATGAAGTACTCTACCCGAAAAATATTCCGACTTCTGGTAGGAGCTAAAAGCAGTAGATCGGTTTTTGAGAAGTACTTTTTTGATAGTGATAAGGTCTGGTGGACAAGTGTCTTTCGTCCAGAGTTTGCTTCGGCTTTTGACAACTTATTGTTATCGCTGAATAGAGCTTTATTCTCGGCGAAAGGAGAGTCTGATCAGGGGCTTTCCCCCTGATTACAAACGAGGGCTTATTTTGACCGTGCGTATCCGCAAATGAAAAGTCGTAGGGAGAAGGTGCACATTTGCAAAGTCAGAGGATAGGAAAATCCTTATTAGCGGACTTCACCTTTGGTTCCTAAATTATGTGACAGATCTACAGATCCTGGTTGTTTGATGCTTTAGGAGGAGTAACAGTAACAGGAACTACAGCACTTACTGAATAGACCTACCTTAGAATTGACCACAATGGACTTAATAGTGAAGCCAAAAGTAATATTACTTAACTCCTTTATCATTTGCAAGACCGCCTGCTTGCAGACATGGCCACCACCCGAAAAATATTAACTTCACAAGAAAGATAGGCGATTGAACGAAAACGAAAGGCCTGTACACATTTACGGTAGAAGCAGTGCACTTCTTGAGTGCTTAATTTGTGCTACAAATACCCCACTATTTTTATTTATATGCTTCACGATTTGTGCAGAATTTTCGCCTCTCAGACCCCTTCCAGAGTTTTCCGTCCTTCTTTTTTTCTAGTTATCTGAGTGTCCTGCCTTTCTCATATTAAGTCCTCTTGAGATATTTCCTTTTTTTGTCACCTGATTCTCTTGACATCCTTCCCGTTCTATTAGTATTCCATTTTGCTGAAACATTTTAACCTTTCCGGAGAATCGCCTGGTCAAAAGCTGTTTAAAGGTTCAAGAAGGGTCTCTTCTCCCATATAAAACACACATTTTTTCTACAATAAATTAACTTATAGTAGTGCCTTACAGTAAGGGTGCAGACAGAATTTCCACAGTGGAATCTGAAAAACTTTATAATCATTTGAAAATAACAGCAAGAACAAGAAACTGAAGGTTTTATTTGTATTTGTCGCAGAAGTACTAGATATCAGACTGTTGGGACCTGAAGATTTGTTTAAAGCGATGTAATAGCGTGGCGCTCATTTTAGGACTTTTGTCCTCAGATCTTGGTTTTCTGGGTTTTCCCCATATACAAAGACGTCTTAACAATGAATGACGTCGCAAAGTTCCCAGAAGAGTTAAAATTTCTTGACTTGATGGCGTGCATTCGAGGAGATAGGAATCACTTGGGATCAAACAGCATTCGTACTGGACCTTACTTAATACGATACTCGACTTTCCTGAACCATCTGCAAAGAATTGCCGTTCATTGTGGCCTTCAGTTGTCTTCAGGTTCCTGTGTTGGTGGGGGAAATTCTGCCGGTTCATTGGTATGGCGACTCACATCTGAGTGTTTTGCAGTGGTAGTGGCTGCTACGAATAACTCTACATGTGGTTCTGACTCAGCATACAGCACTTCTCCCAAACTCACAGATCTTATTTCGATCGCGGCAGTTTATTTTGAGTTCAATCATGACAAAGCTGTGGTGAGTTAATCTTAGATCGTCTCTAGGACTCATATTCTTGGCGACTTCTTAAGCTGTACTCATCTGTATATAGATGAGTATTTGTGCAGCTGTTTGAAATGTGCATTGGGAGAGGCCCTAAAGTCTTTCAGTCATACCCGTTTGTGAGGTTTTCTTCCGATAATGGGAGTGGAGGATGTTTTTCGACCTAGAACTTGTCACAATTGTCATGAGAAGTCGCGTGTCGGTAGCACAGCGGTTAGGACGCTAGCCGACCATGCATACGCTCCGAGGTTCTATCTCCTGCCGACGCACACCTGATATCAGTGGTTGGCCTTCAAAATTTGGGCTACCGATATCACATGCTGAAAATTCCATACTTCTACCATAAAGTACTGTGTGGAATCAAGCTATAATCAAAAATTAAAGAAAATTAAATTATCTTATAACCAATTTCTCGCTGGCCAAAAGTTATCCAGTACTACTCACAGAGCCTGTTTTATTGTGGTGGTGATACCATACCTTTCTTCAGCCTGTAATGGGGTGGAGAAATCTGATTTCTCATCAAAGAAGAAACTTCTGAGCAGGACGCATCATAATGTGATATACACGAAAAATTTGGAAAGGGGACGGTGAAAGGAAAATAAAAACACAAGTGCGAAACTAAAATAACTATCTTCGAACTAGGAGTTCAGACTGCTAGTAAATTAATGTAGCATAGAACGAGCAGCTCAAGTGTAATGCTGTGTTAATGTGATGCGTAACTACATTCGTAGATGCTGTCGTGTGGTTTTAATGTCACCTTCATTCTCCACTCTTAAGGAAAATGACAGGCTAAATTGCGATACGTCTGAACGAGTGTTTTAGCCAGTTGGATTTAATTATTCCCTGTAATTGTTAGACACGCATAACCTAAAACCGTGTCGTGTTGTTTGCAGCAAATGTGAGATGTAAAGTCTAATTGAGAGGGATGTAGGTAATTTAGTTAGTTCGATTGTTGAGCCACTATTTCTAGTGAGGCTGCTCATCTGTGACTCAAAATTCATGCTAGTAACTTTCTGTTTCACCACTGGTTGAGTTTACTACTATACATATTAGGTCCTAGTTATTCCACCACCATTTTATTTCAACTTACCATGTTTCTGAGTTTTGTAAGCTTTTGGATTAGGTACAGCGTTTTTGAGTTTAGCCTAATTTTTCACCAGACAAACAAGGAAATTTTTGGTCAACCATTTCATTAAATCCACCTATGTTCTGAGGTACATTCACTTGTCTTTTGCTTCATCACTGTCTAAGGTGTTTCCTTTTTGGTCTTATTTGTTCAGCCCTGTCCGGAATTGGCAACGGATCTTAGCATGGGAAGGTACAGTTCACTGCTTCAACATGTAGATAATCTGCTAACAATATATGCAGTTCCGGGCGACAAGTAAGTTGTCCTGCAGTGATAATTTATTATATCTTCAGTTAATTGGAAGTAAAAACCTTCATATCTTTTAATTCAAGGTAGATTGTCTGTCAAATACCATTATACTATTTGTGCGTCGTTGGCACAGCAGTTAGGACGCTCGCCAACCATGCACATGGTCCGAGGTTCGATCCCCTGCCAACGCACACCCGATATCTATGGTCGGCCTGCAAAATTTGGGCTACCGATATCACGTGCTTAAAATCCCATACTTGTACCGAAAATACTGTGTGGTTTCTAGCTATAACCAAAAATAATATGGGATTTGTTATAGGACCTCCTTGGTTAAGGTTTTTAACTTTTAGGTGCATTACAATGCATTCCTTAAAGAGAAATTATTGGTATTATTTTCCATTCTTAGTTTCTACAATGTTCTTTGTTATATATAACTACTAATTGCAATTCACATGGCATTGGTACTTATTGTCATCAGAATTCGTGTTTCGGTTACCCATTTAATTCACTTGCCTTTTAAAGCTTATTCTACTAACATTAGCGGCTTGGTTGTTGGAACAACTTACCTCATTAAACTAATCTCTCTATGAGTTGTTTACTCTAGAGCCCTTGAAGAAACTGAATATTGTAGTTATAAATTCGAATCTGTGATGATCTGTTCTCACTAGAAATGCAGCTGTCAATTATCATTATTCGCTTCATTAGATCTTCACTTTGTATGCTAGTGGTTCTATTTTAATCACTTTTCCTCTTAATATTTCTTATCCCTTTGCTTTGTCTTTTGATGTTTTTCTCTCGATGTGCGTATTAGGAGGTGGATGGTGTGAATTAATATTCAGTTGTATTGTTCGCATATTGTTTATGCCCATCAACTGAGTTCGTGTCAGTTATGACTTTATGGTGTGTTCATTGTATCGGAGTAGTCAACCACAAATAGCGAGTGTATTAACAGTGTATATCACATGAGTCAGCTGACATTAGGTCATTTCAGTGCATTTCACCACTGGTTTCATAGGGACGATGAGGTTAACAAAGACTGACTTGTGATTAATCTGATAAGTACTATTTCGACAAGTGTAACGTGTGGGTAATGTGAAGTTATGTATCATCAAACATGAGTGATTGGGAATACAAGTTCCACTAGCTTTGTTTTTTCCTTGTTAGTTGTGGATAAAATCACATGTAAAACGCGACCCAAACCTAAAATGGAAGTTATGTGTATGTAGCTCATTGTAACTGGATTTCGGAGTAAGATTCCACCTGCTTTATGAAATCTTAACAGAAATAGATTACATGAATAACCTTTATAGCTTGCACGTATTTCTTAATTTTCCTGCTAATCAATGTCTTGTATCATTTTTCTAGGATTGATCGCGCTCGAACTTATTTGTGTTTACAAGCTCTTGAAAAGGATTTGAGTATGTTAACTCAAGCAATAAGAACTGACTTGGAAAATAATATGGACGCTATAAATACATTCAGGCGGGCTCCGAACCAAAAACATGATGTATTCAGTATGCGTGACCTGGTAAATCGTTCACTTGTTGGGCATTTCGTTGGACGTACAGGAGGTCGATTGGCTCGTCTTACTTATTTAGTAACATCAGCACAAGCTATGATAAGTAATGCAGCTGGTGTCTTGAAAAATGATATGCAAATGAATCCAAAGAAACCATGTTCTACTAGCGTTGGTTGTGGATCACCTGACGGTTTAATTGGTGGATATATGGCGCGTATAGGACTTTGTCCCAGATTATCATATGCTGGAGATACTTCTACTGCATCTCACTCCACAGTTCAGCGATTACCATTCATGCCACTGGTTACATTGCAAAAAGATGCTTACGGTGTGAGGTAAGTTGTGTGCTTCGGAAATTTTAAGTTACTAATTAAAGAAATCAGTGAAGACCTACAGAAACAGAACGCAATGGAGACGCACGGCTGAAGCCATGTTCTGTAAATAATAAATTAAAGAAATCTGATAAATCTGAGTTACTTATAAAATTAACCACAATAGGCTCGGTCAGAAGATCTAACATTTTATCACAAATTTCTATCTTACATACAACATAAGTGATTGGAAAATTTTCCTCATTTACTAGTTCATAAGTCATAATTTAATGTATAGAGACTTACCTGGTTCCCCGCGATGTGTGGGGTGCGATCCATTGGTTGTTAACCAGGGACGTAAACTAATGAACCACTTCACTTGGCAACAAAATTCTGCCTGTCAATCTAAATTACTTTACGGGGAACAATAATCTATTGTGATATGGATTTTTCGGTATCTGAATCAATATCTTGGAAAAGGGAGTCTTGTTTGAGAGCAGTGTGTGTTTTCCATTCGAGTATATTCTGCTGTGAGTGAGTCTCAGAAAACCCAAAATATGTTATCTAAAGTCAGCTATTCGAGCTGTGGCCATAGGCGTAATTTGTGAATATTATTCTTGTCGGGTGTATTATTTCACCTTTTTGGAATATTCTAAACACTACCGTGGAGTGTCACATAAGCAGTTCATTTGACTGGGAATTACTATTAGTCCTAATAACAATATAAGATGGAAATATATCAATAGTTTAGTACAATCACATTCCTTCGCATGTGGTTTCTGTTTAAACTGGCAATTGGAAGAAAAATGGAAATGATACCAGGTGTCAATGAATGGTAGAAAATTGAGGGAACAGCTAGTGGAGTATTCATGATTTAAAAAAGGGTGACTATCCGAATGATCAATTTTTCCTCGTATTACTTATGGTCTTTAGTCACTGACTTATAAGACATTTTTTAAGAAGCACATCAGGTATCCTACATTCTTTTTTACTTAACTCAGATCAATCTGACCTAACAGAATGAACCTTAAAAGTAAGGAATTTTACTCGTCAGTTTCTAGTAGAATTTCTGAAATGCTTGGTACTAATTGAGGTTGGGAAAAACAGCTAGACAATAATCCAGATGTTGTTGAACACATATTCTGTAGTTAATACTGAACTTTAACAATTAGTGCGGTCAAAAGAAACAATTTCTTCCGAAATGTTACTAAAATTGAAGACGCAATTTTGTGTGTAAGCACTCATTAGAAATTTATTCATGATAAATTCTGAAATATACTTGTTCATATCAGATAGTTTAAGGCTTTAATCCTTTTCAGCAAATTCGCTGGTATCAAACACACTGATCGGATGGATGAAATAATACTCATCGGTTCATGATTTCATTTTTTTTGACCGTATACATCTAAATGTCTGTATGTTTTGTAGACGCATGCATACTTGTGAAAATAGTGAATCCAGATAAGCTTAAAATTTTTTGTGTAAAGTTCTTAAGTTTTTTATTTATTGTCTTCTGTAAACACGAATATGGTTTTATAGTGTTCCTCATTTCGCCCAACCGGATGAAATAAAGTGCATTTCAATTGAAGCAGAGTTTGTGTTACACCTAGATCCCGCCTTGCCGATTTCAACAGATGCAATTCAACAACTTGAACAAATAACTGGTAAGCTTTTGCTCTTCTCTTTGCGTTTTTCACGTTTTAGATAAATTATGTAGATGAATGTATTCCCAATTTTTAATTTTGCTATCATGTGTCACGTAACGAAAATCTTTGTCCCAACAGCATATATATATATACATATATATATAATTCTTGGATATCCAATTATCACCATTTTTATGAAATACATGGCAAAAACGCTGAGACTACACAGGTGATACATGCGGTTATTATGGTATCATAAGGATTTCTTTAACCTATGAGTAAAATACAAACTATAGCATACATTAACCCTAACCCCATTGCACTGTTCATCATAGTATGATAGAAATCAAAAATTGGAAAAAATGTGTTTTAATTATTTATTTTAAAATGAACTTGGTACAACACGTGCAACAAGAGATGCACCACACAAGAAAGCAATAAAACAGTGTATGGAGGAGAAGTAGAATGATTGAGGGCTAGGAACATGAAAACAGCTAAGTATATGCTCACCAAGAATAGTATTCAAGGTGCATTCATAACTTCATGTTACTTTCAGCAAAAGAGAATTACAGCATGTTCGCCACTGATTGCGATTATCTCGCGGACCTCACTCGGGGGTCGTGGTGTACCAAAAGATGCTAGCCTAATAAACTATCCTTCTTCCCACGGCGCCTTGTCATGGACTGATCACCTCATGCCACGGAAATCATCAAAAACCTTATGTTTCAAAACATCTGAGATTCTAGGGATTAAGTGAAGCCTGGATAAGAGGAACTGGAGAAAGCCCGTTTTCCTTTAAACCCGGCTGGTTATACACCATATTTTTACCCGTCAGTAGGTTTCTGTATATGGGCATACTTACCGGCTTTCGATACTTGCCTTATTTTTAGATATGAAGGTGGCGTTTGATTTCGCGGATCGAGAGGTGCTGCAGCAATGTCTAGCTGTGAAGAAAGTATTGAAAGGTATATTGTACCAATCAAGACACTACATGAACTCATGTAGCCGTGTACAAGTTTATGGAGAGTTATAATGTGAAGAGACGACGACCAGTGCTTAGTAGGGAAGCCACCTGATGCCACTCATACTGAATTTCATTATAAATGTATTAATGGATATTTTCCGCGGTCGACTTCTGTATTTCAAGAATCGACTTACTTACACTTAGAGTATGCAAATGACTGTATCAGTCCTTTTAGGTTCAGATGCTGACAAAATACAGCGTCATCTGAAGGCTTCTGGCGAAAAACTAAATTTGTTTTGCTATGTGATTTGCCCCTGTCAAATACAGGACTGGTCTGCATAAACCTCTAGTTCGAGGACAGGGGTGAACTGATTTAATGTGTGAATCACATGTATTTAGGGAGTTGTATCATCCGTAATAGATTGATTGCTAACAAAATCTCAGCATGGCTATAAAAGACTCACTTAAGATTTTCCAACTTGCGTCACTTTGAGCGTAAATGTGATATCCGGTTATCCACAAAATGACGTGTGTTCTGCGCAGCAGTTCGCTCCGTCCTTCTTTGCATCTGTGAGACATATGCGTTGGAAGTGGGAGACAGAGTTTAAATGCTGTTGACCGTAGATACCGTGCATGCAGCATAATATGGTGAGTTATAATTAAGTTAAAAGATGAGGTTTGCAAGCTGCATCAATTGAGATGGCTAATGCCCGTGTTACTCACGTTGGGTCACTTGATGGACAATACCAACGGAATTAAGATTAGTTGGAGGATTTGATCATGAGCTGACATCGATTAGAGAACCAATGGAAAACGTGGGAGTACTGGATAGCTGTTTCGTCCTAGTTTGGGACTTTTCAGCAGTTATTCGGTTTTTCAAAAGATGCCCAACTCATGATGTGGTGGCTTGGGATGACGAAAATTTGTAACACAGTGATAAGGTGGTTCAATACATCAGATATAGCTCCAGAGTGAAACCATTGGCGATTACGATGACGAGTTAATGCTTATTTCGAGCCTGGCTTCTGAGGACACTTACCAGTTAATTATGTTATTCTCTGGTCATCTTTTTCAATCTTCCCCTCATTACTTTGTTAAATTTTGTGGCTCATTACTAGGTGCCTATGCTATACAAGCTTCGCTTTTAACTGTGGCATTTTGTTTTCATTGCATTTCTGAAAATATAAATTTGCTTTGTTTTCAACATTTATCATTCTTGTCTCGTGCTATTGTTCGTTAGTGTGGACGTAACTCCCGACAATTTGTTTACTAATTCACAGCAGAGATGACTAATTCTTCTTACACTCATGAGGACTCCTTTTAAGTAATAATATCTTTGCCAGTCTGTCTACTGACGTTAGCATATTAATATTATTTATATATTTTTTCATTACAAAGGTTTGAGTAATACAGAAATCGCAGACCGTAAAGAGGAAGATATTATGGTGTTGATTCTTCGGCAGCACAAACAGGAATATTTGCGCGGGATAAATACTCATTTAGTGAGCTAACATTTAACTTATATCACACTGTATTTTTTAAATTTCTTTTGCATGTGTATTCAGTGCCATTAACTTTCACTCACCCAATGTAGCTCATAATCTAGTGAATATGTCTGTGACACTTCGAACTGATGTTTCTGTGTACAAGATTTTGACTGGGTCTCTATATCATTTTTCGCATTTCGTCTATATGTAGAGGAAATCTGTCGGCTTCCTATTGAAAGTGTGCGCTACTGTAATATGATATCTTCATTGAGTATTTTTTTCGTGTTTTAATTTCTGATTTTTCGCATTACCATATATTTGACAACAAAATGAATCGCTTAAATAACATACAGGATTTTCGTGTATTACTCAGTGTCGTAGATTTTTGAAAAATTGATTGTTAAGTTTGAATAATGAATACTTGAAGAAAATTTTGAGTTGAATATATCACAACTAGTGGTTCTTAACTATCTCGTGAGGCAGTTAATATTTCTGGGTACCATGTAGTTATTATTTCAGTTTTACAACTTGTTACCTGTTTTCTTCAACTACATATAGGACACTTTACATTTCTTTGTCTTGATATCATGGTGGAAAATTTTAGTGAATGTAATTGCCTTAGTACTAACAGCATGCCGTAAACGCCTATACATACATACATTGCTCTTCACCACCAATGACGAAACTGCCTTTGAAATAATTCAGATTCGTGAAAGTTTTGTGGGTTGCTAGGGTCGTTGAATGTAGTAATGCTAAGATAACTTCTTCCAGTAATTTGAGGTTGTTTTTTTTTTGAGTAGCTGGTTGACTAAATCAGTTTATATGGTTAACAAATTTTCTCTTTCATTCCATGATGCTAAGGCTCACTGGATTAAGCATTTGGCTCATGGGTTTGAACTCCTCTCCTCCTAAAGAGTAGAATTATTAACCCCAACATCATGCCTATAGCTCATTGCTATGTTCATCAGCACGCATGTGAGAGTTGGAAAACCTTTAACAAACAAATGATAGTATTTTGCCTTAAATCAATTTAATTTTTGAGGAGTTGGTTTTCTACTGGAAAAGTGATTCATGTGGTTGCTTTGCTCGCATCACCTTTCCACATAGTAGCCTGCACAACTTAGTAGTCTCTGGCTATTTTCAACATAATAAATCACTAGTATAAAAGAACTTTTCTGCTTAACACCTTTATAGGGTAGCACTTTTCTTTGCAACTAACAAATCATATTTTCATTTTTATTATTTTCTCGATTTTTTATAGCAAAACCCGAACCTTACGCATCATTCTTATCAGATCCAAAGTGATGTTAAAGGTTATCTTGTCAGCTCTGTACCTTTTACTTGTTCGAATCAAATTGGCGAAATTATTTCTATACTCCGTAAACAAGCCTCAGCTTTAGCATTTTACGAAACATTCATTGTTCACCCTTACAAGCCGGTAGAGAAAGGTATGTTTATGCGACTATTGTGCACAGTTTATCATTAATTTTTTGAGTTATGTATTCCGTTCTGGGAATCCATAGATAGTTTGTCGCTCATTGGAGTGGTTACCAACATCTATGATTATCCATGTTTCATATTTTCAAGCGAATGAAACTCTGAAACAGGATTGGATTTCAGTCCTTGGTTTCCAAGTTACAACTTTGATACTTCATGGGAGAAACTATAATACGCAACTGTTAACCATGCTACAGGTGGCTCGGGGTTCGATCCCCGGCCGGCGCACTCCTTTACCTCGCTAAGCCAGTAATAAGACTGGTAAAGCGGGAAGGTTGGGCATGAGGCTAGCAACCTATCCCGTAGCAATAAACACCACTGCTACCGAAACTTCAAGCCTCTAGCTTGAAGCTCTATGTTCCACTGGGAACGTAAAGGAATAAAAAAATTTTTTAAAAATCCAAGTTTGAGTTTTATCTGAGTTAAAAGGTATTATTTCTGCACTATTTACTTTAGGTCTTGATATCTAGGTGTTACCATAAACACTCAAGCTGTATCAGTTTAAGTTATGTGTTTTAAAACTAGTTTTGGGTTCAATTCCATACAAGAAATCAAGTCTGTCAATGAGGTTCTCAACATGTATCTGTTGAGACAGTATGGTCATTTTTCCTGAACCATTATCTAATCTATCGTGTATTGCCAGCTAAGGTACTATTAAGTTACACTAAAATGAGTTAGCTTGCAAAATGATTAAGTATTGGTCTGGGGAAAAAACCGACCATAAGCACTTTAGACTATGATGGTTAAGAATAATAGTTAATGACATCTAGTGGCGCCGTTACAAAAGGGCATTTATTCTTTCATTCTTTTCATCAATCGAATTGTTATTTTTCCTCACTATTCTTGCTTTCTGTTGATGTCTTCCGTGTTTATTTATTTACTTGATTAGAAAAACATTAGAATTTATTAATTCTAGAAATAGATATCAGAGCTCTTCAATTGGAAATGGGATGTTGAATGTGTGCATATCTTGCTTGAGCCGATTTATGTTTGTTAAGACCCCGTAGTCATCAGGATATACAGCTACCTTTATTTGTTCATAGCTTTTCTTTACATTAAGCTTTCTTTGATAAATCCATTTTGAAAGTGGACATTAATGCTATTATTTTTTGACCCTCAATTTGACTTTGTTCGACTCATTTTCATTTCTTAACTTGTTAATTTTATTATTTTTCACATGAGTTCATATGACATTTACGTGTGTGGTCAGATTGTTTGAAGTGTTTTGTGCAAATACGTTACATCACTTTAACCAACTACGTCTTCCTGTCGTTGTTCTTTTAATGGTTCCAAGAAAACTCATTGTTTCACAGTTTCCATTAGTCTTATAACATAGTGTTTCGAGTTATGTTCCATATTTTTTATGATTTGATTGTTCTAATAGTATAATACAATATTACTGCATAAATTACAGTTGTCTACTGCTGTTTATTTTAGATTCTGATCTGACGTTTTCATTCAATATAAAAATCATGGCTGGTCAGATGGTTTCAGTAGAATTCGATGATCCTAATTGTCTTGGAGAAGTTCATGGTAATTGTTCAAGTATTTTACTTTTAGTTTTCGTGTAACACTTTTGGTTAATGTTGTTGGTAATGGGTTCGCATCCTCAGTGGCCATTGGCATATCATTGAATCTACTGTTTTAGTGCCGGTTTTGAAGTGGTGCATAGGTTTACTACAATGAGAAATTTCCATTTGTGAGACAACAAGTATCCATAGTTTTATTGGTCTAATTGCAATAATTAATCAACTTACTATCTTTCCAGTTTTTGCACTCAAAATATTTCCGTTATCAATTAAACATTTCAATCGATTTATAAATATTCTTACTGTTTAACTTATATTTTAAATAACTCCTTTACTGTCTGTTTCACAGCTTTATTGCATGTTCGGCCGTTCGACGTTCAATGTGTAGAATTGCACTTCCCCTCAAATAAATGTAATCAAGTAGGTGCAAGTAATAGTGAAGAAGAAAGATCATTGTCACCTAACAGATTATGTGTGGAAACTGACAAATCTCTAATGGATAACTTCAGCAAAATTCTGACGAAGACTCACACACTACCGATCGGATTAGTTTGGTTATTGACTCGACTGCAATGCCCTATTCATAAACAACTAGAAAATGCGAAGTTACCTTTAATTAATACAAGCAAAAGTAATGAAAATAGTCAAATTTCATCATTAATCAGTCAAAAACAACTGAATTCATTAAAAACAATGATTAATCGTGTTAAAAACTCTATCGTAATTCGAGGTACCACTGGTACTGATGGTATACTTTGTGGTGGGCATCTTAAAACATCAGTGGATTTCGAGTCTTCATCGCTTACTGCAGCACCGATATTCACTTTGAATACATCGAATTATTTGAATGGTTCTAAGAAAATTCCTCCTTTGCCCCCAGGTGTCATGGCTACACCACCTCCAGCTTTTACTCATTTGGATACGAATTCAGGTATATATATCTGTTATACTCTGTACTTGTTGTTTCTTGTTTGTAACATGTAGTTAAAATGTAAAAGGTTTGCTATTTTGTATTATATATGTTATTTTTATGCTTATCGATTCATTCATTTGTCACTTGCAACATTTTTACTATAGTAAATAATAAGTCACGGTGTAGTTCCCATGTATGTAGTATCTGATTGTTCTTGTCAGATAATTAATTGGCAATAAGATTAATTTTACTGACATAATTGCAGTGTCCTACTCCTTGTCACTTTTCCGGTAGAGTCGAATAAAATTTGCCTATAACTGCTCATCACTTTATTTTAAAGTGGAGTAGTATAGTGTACACATAAATATCACTCTTTGCTAAATTAAGTTCACTTGTCTTTTATGCACACTTTTCATTGCGACAAGATACACGCGTTATCCAAGTAGTTTATAAGTTCGGTACTTAGCCTTTAGAAAATGTGTTTAACATACTAAGTGGAGTATTTACTTACACTAGTCATCATCAGTATGGTTTTGATATTCCATGTTGTTTTTACGTAGATACGTCAACAAAGGGTCACACACACATTTCCAACAATGTACATAGAGAGCGAATAGATGCATCATACACTATATGTTCAATCCAGTAAACTTCACTGTAGATAAAAATAATCAACTTTATTTGTTCAGTGTCTTATGCGTAAACATCACAATCAGAACCTGGTTTGGAGCATACAATGCTTTTCGTTCATTGATACCCTCTTTTAATATTAGTTCAATCAAGCTGGTCATGGATACATTAATTAGACGTTGCCATACTGTACTTTTCACATAATGTACGATATACATCAGGGAACACATCACATCGTTCATTATTATAAAAGTCTTTGTATTTCCCAATATCACATTATTTTTCATTCATCGGGAAATACGAAGGCATTTATAATAATGAATGTCTTATTGTAGCGTGTGCTACTGATAAATTTATCAGTAGTATATAAAGAGACGCTCATTGGCATAGAAATATCAAATAACAGGGAGGTAGATTTGACGTCAAAGAAAGCAAATGATACAGCGTTGCAGAGAAACATGGGAGACATGAAAAGAAGACAAAGAAACACAATACGAAGGATAAAAGTAGGGTTGACATAATTTCGCCATATAGAAATACCAGATTCCAAATAAACATTCCATTACCAAGTCTCTTATCTTCTACCGTTACAATATACCCAATGCGCAAATTTTTTTCACTGTTAAAGGTGAACTTGGTGTGGACATATGTAAGATCACGTAGTTGTTTGAATCAAAAACAAAGTTTACTTTTCTTCATATCAGCTAGAGGGCATATATTTTTGTTTACTGCATATTATATAGCTGTGAATACGACTTCTTACTACTTGCTCATTTAGTGATTATCATAACGGTTTGGTATACGTAGTTTTTCAACTCAAAAAAACTTTAAAATTTTTATATACTACTTATAAAATATATGCTTTCTTGATTCTAGCACACTTCATTAATGTTTTGCTTTACAGGTGACCTTGGGATTATTTCCTCATTGCGGCCTATGAATTCTCAGAACAAATTTCGTGATACACATTCTAATACCATATCAGCAGGCATTTCAACAAATCCTTCCCGTGGATTAAGATTAGATGACTTACTGGTTGATAGTACGTTCCAGTCGCAACCACATGATCAACAACGTAATCTACCAGTTGTCTCATTTCCCCACTCATTGCCAACTTATGCATCAACTATTCCGGGAACCCATAGCACTATTTTACCTGATGTTAAAGATACATATTCAAGCATTATTAATTCAAACATTTCTGTTTCAAATCATTCAATATCTGGTATGCATTCTACATCACAAAAGTGTTCAACATCTATTCTAACTGGGTCGAATAATAATATGATTCCTAGCTCGTACAGTATACCTTCTATTTCTGTTACCTCTTCCATTTCAATGACGTCCAGTTCGCTATCTGTAACAAAATCAAAGAGTTTCACGGGTTGGTCTATGATAATGCATTATGTAATGATTTTTTATGCGTAGGAAATTAAAACACTATTTGCTTCATATATTTAAGGGTCAATTTTTTAATTGTCGAATAAACTTATGATGTCATCAACTAAAGTAGAAGTTCATCATGCACTTTCATTTCCTTTATATTTATCCAGTTTTGTAATTTATTAGGTGTCTGGTGGTTGCTCAATCTTTTCCCGATATTTTCTGCACTGGTTGTGAGATAGCTGTTTAACTATTAAATTTGAATTTGTTTTTGAACGATAGTGGTTTGGGGTGCAAACCATCTCATGTTTTCAGTCTTTTGTTCATATGATGATACTAGTTACAATCTTAATTTAATTTTTTAATTCCTCTGTATTAGCCTCTCCGGTCATCGATAGTTCAAGAACTTCTTCAACCAGTGGATCTATGCTTGTCAATCTCTTAAACGAAGATTCACTTCCCAATTCTACCCCTTTGATTTCTCCATCCACTATGTCGGATCGTCACCTTTATACGTCTAGTCATTCCCTAATAAATCTTCAGAATGTACCTCTGACTTCATCTGCAAATACAAATGTTCCTAGTAGTCGACTCTCTGGTTTGATGTTACCCAGTAATGCACCAGCTGTCAGTTCAGATGCACAGTTATCTCAGGGATTTGGAAAGTCTTTGAGTTCATCTGCACCGAATCTCACAGCAAATAGCTCTCAGTACCTCCCTGTTCGTCACTCCAATCCAATCACATTGAATTCTAGCCGTACTAAACACTCAAACATAAAGCACGGGCAAACTGGTTTGACTTCTGACCCTGCGACAAATGCTAAAAAACCTCGGAAAAGACGTCGAGGCACAGTAGAAAGTGGTTTCAATTGCGTGAGCAATCAAAAAGTTAATACTCCTCCGGGCGTATATCCCAACTATCCGACTTCAAAGCTTCAACGTGTCGATACTACGTCACCTAGTACTACTAATTCAGTAACTGGATCTTATCAACGTGCTAACTTTAATCAGACAAATCCAAATTTTGTTCCGTGTTCAGTGTCATATGTCCAACAGAGTACAATGTCGTCTACTATACAGACTTCCAGTATGCCTATTTCTAATCCTAGTAAATCAGTATATGACTTTGACGATACTCCTGGTTCAATGTTTGATGTTCCGGTTGGAAATATATCATCTTCCAATTCCTTGTCGTTTTCAAGCGGGTCCTCATTGACAAGTCCTAAATCGAGTGTATCTGCGAACCCACTTCAGTTGAGTGGTTTGACAGTTAGCAGTTCTAACCAAATTGCAAACTATCCTGTCACAACAACTGTGGCATCGACCTCCAACCTAGAGAGAACAATCGAAAGAAAAACAAGTTTGAAAATGACTATTAAAACGATCCCATCCCAGCCGGTTACTTCGACTCCTAAAACTGGAGTAAATTTTAGTCAAAATGAAATTGACAAGTATAACAGAATGCAGTCCGTTCAGTCGAATTCAATGCCTTCTAATACACTTGATTCTACGAGAATGGCTGATCAAAACCATCCTTTAATTTCTGTTAAAAAGCGCAAAAAACGTTCAGTAGAAGGAAAACCATCCGCGTATATGTTACAAATGCTTCAGTTAGCCAATTCTTCATCAATGACTGGTTGCGAAACCTCAATTATTACTACTAGCTCTGGTATTGATGCTTCTGGAACACCTGGTCAGTCAGAAATCACTTCCGTTGTACTAAATAATCCTAGCTTAAAACATATCAAAGGAGCAAACAAAGTAGTCGGTCACGGTTCCGTTTTAGTGAAAAAGGAACGTAAAAGACGATTAGGACATGGTTTTACTGAGAAGACCCAATTTTCTTTTATTCCAAGTAACAGCACTTATAATCAATTGGCAGAAATCAACGAAGCTTCAAATGTGCCAAAGCCAATTAAAATAAATCGTCTTCAGAAACCAAATACGGATATGCCAAGAGACATTATTACGGCGTCAGTAGCTAGTACCAATATGTATAGTAATTACGTATCGGTGTCACCAAACTCCTTTTCCTCAAAAAAGAAAGTTTCTACAATTACCTCTTTTTCAGTTGGTTCTAGTGTGACGAGTGGGTCCTGTAGTGATGATATGCTTGTTGCCAAGCGATTATTTCCTTCATCTACTACATCTCTGGTAAACAATGAAAAACGCAAAAGAAATGTTGATACTCTGAAACAGTCTGTCACTTCTCAGCCTAGTTGTCCCACCTCTAGTACCCCAAGTGATTCTGCGTTCACTGCGTCTCCACAGTTTGTTCCTGCTAGTTCAGACCCATCTCCTAATGGCAATCCGACGCGTAAAGCACCTCGATTATCTCAGAATTCAGCAGCGAACTCATCACGGGCGCTAAATATCCCTACAAGTCGTATTCAGTCTAGTTCAGTATGTAGTACAACAGTCATGAATTCCAGTGCAACAACTACAACTATTGTTAACTCATCATCTGGTTTAATTAAAGGTTATAAGATTCCGAAAAAGAAGAGCATGATCACCGACGGTTTACCTAACATCCAATTACCTGATGCAAGTAATGAGAAATCATCTGGAATACTATCTTCTACACTTCGACAGATACAAGAAAATATTTTGTATCGTGATACTCCAGATTCTCAGTCACCGGAAAGATCTAATGAATCAACTCTAACCATTGTTGAAAACTTGTACTCAAACTCTAATGATCGTAATAATGAGTGTACAGAGACCATAAATACAAGTATTTACAATGATCCAGAGAAATAATACCAATGATATTGCGTTGATTACATCTGAATCCCTATCAACTTTCCCTCCTGCTAGTGTTGACAATTCCATACAATCAGTATCTCATGCAATAACACCACAGTCTAATACGTCTGCATCTGGGCAAATTGCACAATCATTTCAACAACAGTTGCCACGTAAGTCTTCAGTAAAAAGCATTAGTGACATTGTTGACAAGTTACGAGCAAAGTCAACCACTGGGGTTCCTTCAGTCACTACCCCCACATTCGTGAGTGGGTCATCCGAAACCGGGAATTCGGATACAACAGTAACTACTGCATCCGACACTCAAGAGTTGAGTTCTGACGTGACTGATCAGGTCGGTTGTATACGTAGTATGCCTAGAAGAGGTGATGAATCTCAAGAGCAATGGCGAGACAATATTTTTGAAAAATTTTGCCATAGGTTAGTTTTCACTGTTCTGTTTTGTCATTTACTGTAATTTTACCTTTATTTTTTTAAATTATTTAATTTATTTTACGTGAGAATTCATTTGGGGAATTTTATGTACTTGCATGTGTTTTGCCCGGGATGATGCTTTCTAGTTGGCAGTTTATGTTATTAATGTGTCCAATGCTTTCCCACACCAAATTCAGAAAACTAATTGAACAGTGAAACTTTTCAAATGACCAAGTGTTCTTCGTGAGATTAATAAAGGTATATGTAAAGTGTGTCATATAAGTATTTTAGTTGATGTTCATTGAACATTTCACTAGTGCTTTAAAACTCTTATACTGAAGTTAGGTGGAGAGTCAGAAATGGAGCGACACTTGTCCCGGATAAGCGGGAAATTGCATTATATAAACAGGAGGGATTAAAAACTATATAAAAGCAAGTTAGGAAGTCGTTTAGGTATACTCATTTGATCATGGGCAATAAATTGTGCTATAGACTCCTTCCAGTTTTTGGTATAACTACTGTGTTCAAATTGTTCTCTTACATTTCATATACTGAATTCTACATTTGTTCATATAAGGAGTTTAAAATAAGACACGAAAGTTGACTTCAAAGTATGATTTGCATCTTCATCACCGGCTGAGTTTTCGTTAATTTTAAGGAAATATAAAATAATGCATCTATTGTTGATCATTTTCATATCAAGAAGAGTTAGTGTACTTTAAGTTGTATCACAATTTGTATTTACATTAAAGTGCTGAGGTTATACTTATATTCCTTCACCTCTCAGGTGGTCGAAAGTAGTTGGTATTAGATAGTGTGAATGTAGGATGATGAAGCCCGGCTGATAGCTGCTACCTTGACGTGTTGGTCGGAATTGCATATCGCAATGACCCAAAGAGCTACACTGGCTGGAACTTATGTTCCTGTAGGTTCTACCATGCCGGTCAGTCGGTCGGTTTTCGACATAGAACTTTGCACATATGTGCGGCAGTTCAAGTCGCCACACTCCATGTAGCACACAAAGGAAGAGAAGAAAGTAGGAAAAATGCATATTAGAGACAGTAAACAGAGGTGTGAGACAAAGGAATAGTGATAACGAAGAACAAAACAGTTTCATTGGAAATCATAAGTCACAAGGAGTGGATGCATCTGCGCCACTGAGAACGATTTTGAGCCATGTCACCAATTGTTTCCAACCATTGGTTTTTACCGTCCCGAGGACCCCAACCGGGAAGTCTACACCTTCCTACGTGACTTAGACTAACTGTTGTAGATTTCGTTGACTGGTGCTATGTTTTCGTTTGACCGCCGCTAGCTCTTTTCCAGCCTGGCCCTATATCAGCTAACATTGCCCGTCGAGGAAGGCGATGACTAGACATACGTAGCACATGTCCTAACCATTATATATTCACAGTCTCGTCTATTGATTTTCCCGCCTTACCTAGCACTCGACGCCTAACCTCAATATCACTCACCTTATCATACCACTTCACGCGGGAGATAGAACGCAGACACCTATGATCGAAGACAGCTAATCTTTTCATGTCTTCTGCTCTCAATGGCCAGGTCTCACAGCCATAAAGGAGGACGGAGCGGACTGTTGAGCATTACACACGCCCTTTGGTCGATAGTCGGATATCGCGTCTACGCCAGAGACGGCGTAAACTGGCATATGCGAAACTAGCCCTCTGTATTCGTCGGAGATCAACCCGTTGGGGCTGATGGTACTTCCCAAGTAAGTGAAGCGGTCAACGTGCTCTACCACTTCACTTCCTATTTCCAATCTAGGGGTCGGTGTAGTCCAATCCTGCAGCATCATCCTACATTTTACAGGGGCGAATCGCATGCCAAACATACGAAGATTGTTGCTCAAGGTGTTCAGTAGACTGCATTTTGTCAGCGTCCTCGCCTAGAAGGACTATATCGTCCGCATATTCTAAGTCGACGAGATTATTCCCTGGTAGCAAGTCGATCCCTGGGTCTCTGAAGTGAGTTAGGGTTAAGTCCATTAGTACGTCTATGATGAAGTTGAATAGAAATGGAGATAATGGGCATCCTTGACGGACAACACTAGTCGTCACCACTTCAGATGACAACTCGCCGTAAGCCCTCACCTGGCTGCATGAGTACGAGTAGAGTGCCTTAATCAGTGCAATGTATTTTCTCGGCATTCCCTTTACAGCCAAGCATCGCCAGAGAACCTCTCGGTCGATAGAATCGAATGCCGCCTTTAGGTCAAGAAATATAATGATTGTCAGACGCCGGTAAGAATGCCTATGTTCTAGAATCTGTCGAAGGGTGAAGATATGATCAATACACCCTCTTCCTAGCCTAAAACCTGCCTGGTTTTCTCGTGTTTGTGTCTCCCGAGCACCACTTAGTCTACGCAGTATTATTGAGCCTAGGATTTTAGATACTATATTAGTCAAGCTAATCCCTCTGTGATTATCACAAGAAGACTTGTCTCCCTTCTTGTATATCGGGATGATCAGTGACTTACACCAACCCGATGGGACTTCCTCTGATTCCCAGACGCTATCTAGAACCTCAGTTAATGCAGACAGTAAACTGTCTCCACCGTGCTTAAATACCTCTGGAGTCATTCCATCAGGTCCCGCTGCTTTGCCTTGTTTCAGATTAGTGACAGCTTTAGTAACCTCAGTTAAGGACGGAGGACCTGTGTCTATATCCCATTCAGGGAGGTCAGAAAGGTTGTTTGGATAGCGGTTAGACAAAAAGCAGCTACCCAATTCAACACTATGATTCAATCAAATTCACAAAATATCATGCTGGATCGGTCGGAGCTCGGATTAACAACGACCGCGCTTCCTGCTGCCGTGTCACAGGGCAGAAGTGATAAATATGCTACTGAGACACACCAAATGAAAAAGAACAAACAAAAACAGGCCGCGTGTGACCGGCCTCAAGCAGTTGTCCCCTGGGCTCTGCGGTCACGCAACACTAACCTTTTCTCTATTTCAGGTACCCGAAGACTCAACCAACTTGCACGGTGTGGGCAGCCGGGAATTAACAACTACTCACACACTTCCAAAAGCCCACGAAGCCTACCTGAGCATCACTCTCCCTTACTCACATCACCTTCCTCATCTTGCTTCTCTGCTACAGCTAGCACTATTCTTCAGGCTAGTGAGTCATCTTCACTTCACTCTGCGACCACAAACAACGATGAGAGCCATAGAAACAACCCAGATAGCCTTTTAAAGCCACGTCGCCAACTTCATATAGGAGCTTTTAACGTCAGGACCCTCTACCCAACCGGACAACAGGCATCACTAGCAAGAACCCTGGAATCTAGAGCCATGGATATATGTTGTGTTTCGGAGACACGCATACAAGACCCGAGTGTGGTCATTCACTTGACCTCACCCGGTCAACAAGGTGAATCTGCAAAATTCACTTTAAAGGTGTCGGGAGACCCCTCAGCTAGCTCACGAGGACTCACAGGTGTAGGGATAGCACTGAGTGTTAGGGCGGAAAAATCACTCCATGACTGGATCCCAGTAGATAGTCGTATGTGCGCGGTCCGTCTGAACAGGTCCGTTAAAAGAAGGAAAGACGGCTCTATCCGTTGTTGCCTTTTCGTAGTCTCCGCTTACGCCCCAACAGATTGCAGTTCGGATGAATTAAAAGATGACTTCTACCGGAAACTGTCTAATTTGCTGCAAAAAGCAAAACGTTCAGACATAGTTGTTTTAGCAGGCGACTTCAATGCCCAAGTAGGGAAGTTGTGCCAGACTGAGAAGTATGTAGGTGGTACGTATGGAGTTCCCTGCCGACGAACCGACAACGGTGATCGTCTTCAGTTTTGCTCAGATAATCATCTGTTCCTAGTCAGCACTAACTTTAGGCACAAAGAAAGACATTGTGTAACCTGGCGACCTCCATCACCAAATCAACGCTGGTCTCAGATAGACCACATAGCCATAGGGTATCGTTGGCGAGGGTCAGTAGAAGACTGTCGCTCCTTCTGGAACACGTGCGTAGACTCTGATCACGCTCTGGTTCGCGCACGTTTATGCTTACGACTAAATGGACATAAGAAATTGACGGCAGCGAAACAGTTACGTCCCCAACTAGATCGTGACACTGAGTCCTTATTTAAGGAAGAAATAGCGAAACTAGTTTCTGAGGTCGACAGCAGGACTTCCCCTGAGGTAGCCTGGCACAACATACAGTTAGCTGTGGACACAGCCGTGAAAGCTGTCAATAAGCTAAAACCTAAAGTTAATAAAAGCCATTGGATCTCTACCACCTCATCCGAACTGATTGACGCAAGAAGACTGATTCCAGCGAGCTCCGATTATGATGAGGAGCGAAAGGTACTTAAACGAAGACTAACAAAAAGTCTTCGCAAGGACCGTGAACAGTGGTGGGCAACAAAAGCGAAAGAGATGGAAAATGCATCGGCGATTGGCAACACCAGACAACTATTCAGGCTTATCAGGGAAACAGGTGGCAAAAGGCAAATGATAAGCGAAACAATCTCGGAGAAAAATGGCACCATAATTAGCTCCCAGGATAGACGACTGGAGCGCTGGAAAGAACACTATGAGGAGCAGTTTAATTGGCCTACAGCCACACTTAACCTGCCGAACACCCAACACCTCCCTGAATGGGATATAGACACAGGTCCTCCGTCCTTAACTGAGGTTACTAAAGCTGTCACTAATCTGAAACAAGGCAAAGCAGCGGGACCTGATGGAATGACTCCAGAGGTATTTAAGTACGGTGGAGACAGTTTACTGTCTGCATTAACTGAGGTTCTAGGTAGCGTCTGGGAATCAGAGGAAGTCCCATCGGGTTGGTGTAAGTCACTGATCATCCCGATATACAAGAAGGGAGACAAGTCTTCTTGTGATAATCACAGAGGGATTAGCTTGACTAATATAGTATCTAAAATCCTAGGCTCAATAATACTGCGTAGACTAAGTGGTGCTCGGGAGACACAAACACGAGAAAACCAGGCAGGTTTTAGGCCAGGAAGA